AGGTTATGTATTCTCCGATGTCACTGTCTGGGTTTCTATTCCAGTTTGTTTTTATATCTAGTAAATAAAAAGTGATTGGTAAAAACTCATAATATCGGTACGGGACGTCGGTAAAGAAGTGCAAAATAAAGTCATCATTATGAATACTTGTGCTTTATTGATCCATACTATTGGTAGCCTATTAGCTCAGGATTTCAATGCTTTTCCAACCCATTATTATTGACATCGAATACAGCTCTGATACTCACAGTATATATTTTTAATAAGGTGTAAAAATGGGCAGTTACGCCCCCTTTTCCCCCAGTTTTTAAATATTAAAAAATCTGTATCTCATTTACCATTCCCCAGTTTTTCGTCAAACAACTTTTTTCTGTCTTAGAAAAATCAGTTCTACAACATATCAAAAAATATTTTTCATCTGGAGCCTGACTTTAAAATTTATTTACAACACAAGTTTATGTAATTACTGTAGGCCTATATAATCAATTACCGGTTAAAAAGTATTTAAAAAAATATGTATATATATATATAAAGATATAAAAAGATAATATAAAAATTCGGCTTTATTATTCTAATTAGAGACTAAAAAGCGGATATAGGCTGTTGTATTTTAGTCATAAGGTAGGCTCAGGTCGACACGGAACTGAAAGAAACTCAACTCAACTCAACTCAACTCGTCGACATGATCGCTCCGCGCAACTGAAAGGAACTGAACGCAACTGAAAGGAACTGAACTCATGTCGACTTCGAGCAACTGAACGGAACTGAACGGAACTGAAAGGAACTTGGCTCATGTCGACTGGCAACTGAAAGGAACTATTGGCTAAAAACATTTTCCCCGCGAAATCCCATCAACTGCAAAATGCCTGTAATGTTTTTATTAAGACATGTAATTATTTTAAAAAGTGTATCTACTTTATTTTTTTGTTTTGAAAATGAAGACCAGCTACTGAAACAAATGGTGCCTGTTTGTAGTCGACAGAATTGAGTTTTTAAAGATTTCATTTTCTTCGAAATCTCATCAACTGCATGCAAATAAATGTTTGAATGCTTGTAAGGTTAGACGTGTGGTTAAAAATAATAAAATTATTTTTTAAGTTTATCTACTCTTTTTTTTAATTTAGAAAAGTGTATCGCATATTGGTCTATTTGAAATGGGTTCATGCAAAATCTGATGGAACAATTAAAACAAGAAAGGTCTTTTTCTATATGAAAAAACAAAAACAAAAACAAAAAGTATACACGAATGCATTTTATACGTGAAAATGTTTACATGAATCAGCTGTCAAATATGTTATAAAAATGTATTAATTTAATATTACGCGATTGCAGCAGCATACTTTTGATAGAATTCATAATTTAACACTACACTGCAGAGGGACTTTCTGAAAAAGGAATTTAGATTTTTTTTACCTAAACCTAGGCCCTAGATAAATGTTCTACTGTTAAAGAATTTGTACAAAACTAACTTCGAAAACAATGCACACTCCCAAAAATTACTGGATTATTTATAATTCGTAAAAATGGATTTTGGAAGTGAGATCTGCATGCCAGTTAGTTGTCAAGTCTTTACTCGTCGTACGTAGAGTTAGATGTAGGCTAGTAGGCCTGGCATAGGAAGCCTGCCTTTTTTCTACACTTTAGGCCTAGCCTAGGCTAGCTTGAATATGGTAAGTATATGCTGTATTATTATTATTATTATTATTATTATTATTATTATTATTATTATTATTATTATCTTATTATTATTATTAGGCCTAGCCTAGGCCTACTTGTTAATGTGTTAGAATAAAAATCTGGCCTATGGCCTATATTTTTTAAAACAAAGAATAAAGTAATCTGCCATTAACAAAACATTGTAATATAATATCTTTTTTCAGTTAATGCATCTTGATTACGATTAATATCAGGATCAATGTTTTCAGTTCCTTTGAGTTCCGAATCAGCATTTTTTTCGCGCTTTTTTCAGTTCCTTTCAGTTCCGAAAAAGTTGAACATGGGCAACTGAAAGGAACTCAACTCAACTTGACTCATGTCGACAAATATGCGCGACTGTCAGTTCCTTTCAGTTGCGGTCAGTTGCGTTCAGTTGCGTTCAGTTCCGGTCAGTTCCTTTCAGTTGCGCGGAGCGCTCATGTCGACGAGTTGAGTTGAGTTGAGTTGAGTTCCGTGTCGATCTGAGCATGCCTTTAGAGATATAATAGCTCTATGATTTTAGTAGAGTATTAAGTGTTAGCGTGTATTACGTAATGACGTACCGTAGTTATAGCGACAATAGGCATTTTTCGTTTTGACTACGCGGCCAGTCTACTACGAACTAATGGACCGTGACGGCAACGCCAAGACACTGTTCGCGTACTACACCAAGAGCTGTTTTCGTTTTTTTAAGGCGACTACGACGACGCAGCACACGTACGTAGGCCTACGGAGGGGAGTTAGTCGACCATGGTTTTAATACCAGAGAACAGTGTTCTCTTGTTTTATATTTGAAAAATGAAATGTGAAAAAAAAAAACTTTAGTCAAATACTGTATACAAAATAAAAAGTTTCCAGAAAACACTGAGTGATGTTTCACTGTTGGCTAGGATCTACCTGG